CATCGAAGAACCATGATCAAGCAATCTACTTCTCCAATGCTTTGCTTTCCTCTTCGTTTCTTCCTTCTCTCGCTCGTTCTCCCCTCTTTTCTTTCTCCTCTTTCAAATTCCCTTATTCAAACTCTTTTTGTTTTACCCTAATTACCATATAATTAAGTATAAAAGATAATAAAAGTAACCCACTATTTATTTCAAAGTTATCTCCTTTAACCCCCAAGTAAATAAGTTATTAACTTTACCCACTAATTTCATACAGTTTGACATAAATAGTCCTAAACACTCCTTAAAAATTGTAGCAGAAATCTGAACCAGGTGTAATTACGCCACTCGTGATGCCCGTCGTGCCTGCGACGATCCGTCCTGCAGGGTCATCACCGAGTTCAGAGAGTCAAAACAGTAAGGGGTCTTGTGACGGTCCGTCGTGCCTAAGACGGTCCGTGCTGCTCTTCTCTCGGGAAGCTCAGAGAGTTGTTCCCAGTACCCAAATTTCCAGAGTCTAATTGTTTTAGAACGAGACCCCCTCAACGGTCCGTCGTGCCCATGACGGTCTGACGTGGGATCCGTCGACCCAGACAGCTATTTCCAGAAATAAACTCTACTACTCAAAACGACTAAACAGGTCGTTACACACCTGTTAAGTATTGTAGTTAAATTTATATTATTATTCATTATATATTGATTTCTATTTTGAGTTGACCGATAATACCTACTCAGTACGTGTTCCTTGTACTGACCCTTACTTGTATTTTCTTCTCTGTTCTTTTGTGGAGTGTAGAAAGTGTACCATCGAATTCGACTCGCCCTCAGCTCTAGCCAGTCTCCAGCACATCAGAGCTCAAGGTGAGCTATTATTTCTAGCTCGTGCTGGATTCTCTAATTCACGTCTTGATGTCTTTGAATTTCGTACATGGACCATCTTTTTTCTTATTTTGTTTTCTTAAATATTCTTACACTTGGTAAATTGAGGATAGATGTCCTTGATGTGATGATTTCCAGATTTTGGGGATAATAAGTGTCAAACTTTAGAAGCTTATTTAATTGGTAATGTTAATATGTTTTGGATCTTCCGCATTATTTTTATTATTGATAGTTGATCTATTGGTAAATGTTGGGGTTTAGATCTGTTGGTTCGCTCACCTAGGAGGTTAAGTATGGGTACCACTCATGACTCGTTTTGGGTCCTGACATTTTCTTATCTCTCGGATGTTCAACTATAAGATCGAAGACCAAATGGAAAGTCAAAGAATCATACTGCACGCAATCAGTCCTACAAGGCTCACATGACTGGAATGAAGAAGCCAAAGACTTACTGTCACAGCTCCACCAAAGGGGTATGTAAAAGAGAACCCAACTATTATTTACAAACTTTGCTTCTTATGATATTTTTCTATTGATATCAATCTCTTTTATAACATTGGTTGTTGGCTACATTAGCTCCTATTACGCTATAAATTTAAAATTTAAGTTGATGAAGTGTTAATTTTGAAATATGAAAATTGTGTTTGAACACCAAGGATGTAGTTTTCCAACAACCAAAAATAGAACAACGAAGCATAATCACCCAGCCAAAAAGATAATCCAACATCAATAACAAATCCAAAAGAAGAAAATAAAAAAACACTTCTGCGTCCAGATCAAATTTGGAACTTTGATTTTGACGAAGAGGAAGATGACACAAAAAAACCTCATCTGAAACATGTAAAAATCATACATGGAGAATGCTTAAGAGAAAACAGAACATTGATGTGCACACAGTGGAAAAGACACGTCAGAATAAGGAACTGAAATGACAAAATTGTTAAGCCAGGACGAAGACACGTATACATTATAGAAAATGAAAAGGCAAAACTACCCTTGAGAGTAGTGAAATAGGCATGTTGAGACAATATATATATATATATATATATATATATTGTGTGCGTGTGTGTGTGTGTATGTATATATACATATACATATATACATATACATATATATATATATATATATATATATCCGTAATACGGGTCCAATATAATTTCACATATTTTGTTGAAAAAATTAGATAAATTCACAACTTAAGATATTATAGTGCTCTCTCGGATGCATCCCCATTTTCTCTTGGATACATCTATTTCCTCTCGAATATATATCTATTTCTTCTTGAATATATTCCTTACTCGAAGTAATATGTCATTTGCAATGTATTGGACAACCAAGGAATATATATCGAGAGGAATGAAAAATTTGAGATTTTTCTAATTGAGAAAACTTCTCGGATATGAGTTAAAATATTTCATGTTCAAGAAATATATAAAATGTTGATTGAAAATATTCATCGGTCTTCATATAAATTCGCAAGTGATGTCTATTTTTCACAATGTTATTTTCTTCGTTTTGTGATATTTGCACCATAAGCTTTGCATCTGATAAAATACTGATCATTGATCAATCAATTCGTAAAGATTGTTTTAAAGTCTTTCAGATCTCTATTACTTCAACTTAAGTATAATTTTTTTGTATTTGACTTTGTCGATAAATTTTGTGATACATTTTATTATTTTTTTCATAAATAGAAATACTTAAAAAATTAATTTCTACCTTCACAACAATAAAAACAATCAATAAAGAAACTTTATTTCTATATATAATAACAGTTATCGTAATGTTATATTCTAAATATTGAAAATATTTATCAAAAAAATAATTTTTGCCTCCACAAAATAAAAAAAATCATGAAATAAACTTTATTCTATATACAAAAACTATTATCGTAATGTTATATTCTAAATTACATTAATTATTTTTATGATACTACACTTAAATATCATGTTGTAAAGAAAACTCTAAAGCTTTCCCCTACAAAATAACCAATATACTTTTTTCAGATTTTTTTTAATTTATTTATTCTTTAGTTTTTTCTTCCTCTATATTTCTAAACAATGTTTTTGTCGTTC